AAAACAGTTTTCCCCTACGAGTTACACCAATTGGCATTTCCAGGCCGAATTCCTGGATCGGGGTTCATTCAAGCCGCGAGGGAAATGCAGAAGAAGTACAGTCAGCTCGCGGAGGACGGCCCATTGTTGCACCTCTAGCCTGTTTGTCGCATTTCTGTCCATCAATTGCAAGGGTCGCCCGTCAATCAGCGTCGAGAAGAAAAAGGGCCAGGATAATGGAACTCCTTGATCTGGAGAGGAGAAGTCAACGAGTTCTGGGATGTGGGCAAATGCGTCTCCTTTGTTTTGCACGCAGGTTCCCATGTCGGGCTATTATGCGATAGGAATGCACAAACGGTTGGTTTGTCGGGTTGACGACATCTGGTAGCGATCACCAAATGCAGATTACCACGTGTAGACGTTTCCATTAAGCCAACTGTCAGATGACATGTAATAGAGGAATGCCTGCGCTGGAGATTCCTCCGCGACCTGGAGGAAGGGTGCTTCAGTGACTTCATGGATGATGTGGACGGATTGGCATGCCTTTAAAGTTTATTTTTATTATGATAGCGATAACGCAGAGTCGGCGCAATATCACTTAATATTCAGATAAATCAGCATACACTTTTATTGCCCAGGGAACAAGCGGTCTGAGCGATTCATCTGACGGTTCTTGATAGATTCACTCTGCAAGCAAAATACTTTTTTCTCCCTACATTTCCTTTTCGAATTATTCAACTACAGTAAATGGGCGAGGAGTAGGAAACCTGCAGCTACTATGGGCAGTATACGGGCGTTGGCCAGCGCGAAATTCGAGCCACAACTGATCTATAAACTTTCTCACATGAAACCGCGCACATGAAATGCAAACAAAGTGGACCATACTCTCCTCGGCACACACACACACACACCAGCAGTCAAGTTTGATCTACAATAACAATAACTCACTCGCAAAAATAACAAAAGCACAAAACCAAACAGAAAAAGAGCACGCTGCAGAAACGGCAGCAAAAAGCACACAAAACCAAAATAAAATCACGGTCAGGCGGAGAAGAAAACGAGTTTCTTGGCCGATCGGGCGAGTGAGCCGTAGCCCACTACACGGCAATAGTGAGTGACTGGCGCGGTATTTGATTTTCGAAACGGGTTTGGGCACGTTTGAGCCTCGAAGGGGCGGAATTTGCCGCGGCCCAAAGGTGGGCGTGGCCGACCCGCACCCGACCGATCAGCGGGAAACCTGGTCTAGTCACAGTTTTATTTGAGAATCTTATTTGTAATTTGGGAACAACAATTAAGGATTGCAAACATCGGATCTTATTCTCGGTCCTGAGCAACAATTAAAATTTTGCTGCAGATGCAAATCAAGATTATAGACTACCTAATCTAAAATGAAACATGAGAATTATATAAAACAGTTCGTAGATAATGAATGAAATCGATATTTTTAAATTTCAAAGCTTGCCATTAATTTCCATTTCCAAAGTTTATCGGATTTCTATTTTCTCCGTTAAGAGATAACATTATCATTGCAATTATGATTTTCTTTTGTTCCGATTAATTAGATTATTACTTTTTCACGCCTTCTTTTTGTGAGTTCCTGGAATTAGCATAAGCACATCTACAAGAGCTTTAATAACGCATTATATCCGAGCCTCAAGAAAACAACTCCAAAACAGCTGCACGGACAAATGCTCGGGTTTCCAGATAAAACTCCCCCAAAATCACCACGAAACGAACTAGAAATGTGCGCAAAGCAAATCCGCCGGGCAGAATTCCGAAAGTATCGCTGGAGCGCCGAAAGCAAAAGTAAACAAAAGGCGGAGAAGGGGGTGGCGATCGTGCGAACATAAAGCCACAGCCAAAAATAAACAATTTGCATTTGGAAACCCAGAATCACAAAGGAGTCCAATTACGCGCCAAGCGGCAAATGAGGAATTGCCAAATAGGCGCAAATAAAAGATCGGAGGGGAATTTGAGTGGAGACGTGAGACGGGAGTTGGGGGATTGTGGGGCGTTAAATTGCAGCTGAGCCAGAGGACTGAGAATGCAGATTATCCAAGACAGAACTCTGACCAGTTCGGACTTTGATTGCCCACTTCCCACACAGAAAGAAATACCCAAGACATTTGTAATCAGCTTTCAAAACTCCTACTTCAACAATTTCCTAAGCTACTTAAAGATTTCCCATCAAGTGTGGCTTTTAGATATAACGTATGTGGGTCAAATACTATGTGCCTACCTATTAGCTGACACACATTATAAGGTTTGTAATCAATATATTTAAAAGAAATTGTATCTATTATTTATAATAAATAAAAATTACATAAATTTGAATTTTGAGTTCGGGAGTAGTTTAATTTTCACTATTTCATTGATCACTATTAAAACATAAAAGCCTGTATGAGCCATATTTAGAGAACGAATAGCATTTCAAACTGAACCAATTGGAAACTAGAAAGACTGAGTCATAGCCCATTGCAAAACTCCTGATCTACGTTAATTTTAAAACCGCTATTATCGGCGGCCCAATATTCGACTGTTTGGATTGCAGCTCGTTTGCCGTGGCGTAATTAGATTATCTTGCACCTGTGCTCGTGGGCCAAATTTCCCCATCTCTTTCGCGCTGCATGGACGTTTGGGTAATGTCGCCGCACATTCCGTTTCTCCCCGCACTTTTTTTCAGTTTTTATATTTATTTACCTTGTTTACTTGGCCCTTGGTATTGGTTTAGTCCATTTTCTGGGGAGTGGTAATCAGATGCCTGCTTTCCTTGGGTCCCTTATCAGCTGATGTCAATGCAACTGCATTGTGCCATTAAATTTTGGTTTATCTCGCTCGGTTGTTTTTGGGGCAATGGAGCCCGCGATAAGTTCATTGGAATGTGGAGCGTGCCCATTGATAAAATTGGTAAATGGTAACAGGTAACACTGTTTACACCGACAAATATTGCTCGTCCAAACTCGTAAAACGGTAACAAGAACCAAAATAAAGCGAGCTCATGAGTCATGTGAAAAAAAGAAGTACAAAGTTCAGCTGCACAAATTTGCAGTCGCATGCAGTGAGGTGTGCGAAAAAGGCGAAAATGGAGCTGGCGCGAATGAGAAACAGAGAAAAAGAGAAACGAGCTTATGGAGCCACAGTGGTCGCTTTTTCCCTCGACTTCCAGTTTTCATTTATTTAAATAATAATAATTCAATAATTTTAAAAAGTTATATTTACTTATCACTATATCAAAGTCAAAATAATACCGTATACAAATTGCTAACCCGAAAAATAAGATTCTTTGAAACAACACTTTTATGACCGAAAATAACAAAACATTTAAATTATCAATTTAGTATACCTGAAAGGCTAAATCACAACTGGAAGACAAATTACATTTATAGGTTCTAGTTTGGACTGCCCCACTGTACATCGCTATCAGTGCTTCTCCAATTGTTGTTGTTCTCTTGCGGTGGGCAAGACAACAACAGTACAATGACCGAAAGTTGCCATGCAAAAACAGAGAGGGAGTGGAAAAACAGAATTCTGCCGCGACAAAAATCGTAGTAGAAAAGTAAGCACTACTACTACTGAAACCTGTTGGTCGGAGCAGAGCTCTAAAAATTCCGATCTTCCAGTGGCGCTCTCCACTGGAGATTTTTCTGTTGCTTCGTTTTATCACCCTCTCTCAATCTCTCTCGCTCGCGCGCTCTTTTGGAAACAGGTATAACTGTTTGGCGTGAGGGAGCAGTGGAGTGGAGACTTCTCCTCTTCGCCAGCGAAACAAACGATCAAAATGAACACTCTGATAACGTGTGAAGGTGAGCAACAAAATAAAGTATAAGAAAAGTAAAGTATACCGTCACGAAAAAAACAACAATAGATATGTCGACGCACCCTTTTCTTTTTCTCGCAAAGAACAAGGGAATGGAGAAGAAGCGCAAAACCACATCCCGCTGCAAGCGTCCCTTTCCCCCGTTGGAAGGAAAGGCAGCTTAAAGAGGAGCGGGTGGCTTCCAGTATGTGGAAAACAAAGCAGACGCCGTTGGAATGCCGTCGTTGTTTTTATTGTTGTTAAGCCGGACATGGCAATTGTTGCTTCTGTTTTCGAGAGGGGTGGCGGAGCTCATAAATATCAAGGGGGCTTTGTGTACCTTTAATTCCTTGTCGCCCGGTTTAATCCAATTTATCCAGCTTTGAATTCCAGGTGGGAGCGCAGAATGACCAGCGTTTTCCTCCTTTTTCCTTTTCCTTATTGCGTGTTTTTGCACTGCACTGTGGGGCTGCTAATTTAATTAAGCCCGCAATTAAATATTTGTTAACTTTGTCGATGTGTTGTTGTTGCTGTGTTGTAGTTGCTGTTTAACTTGTTGTTGCACATTTCGCGTCGCGACGGCTGCGCAGTCGACGTCGGCGTCAAAGCGAGCCAAGTGCGCAGGGGAATGCGAATATCGCGGAGAAAGCGCGAGGCTGCCCAAATCGAATCGAAAAACAAAACGCACTTTTCACAGACTGCGATTTCAACGCGGGCGATGCGCAGAGAATAATAAAGATCACCGCACTTGTTGCCAATTCGTTTTCGTTTGGAATCAGAACTCAAGAAACGCGAGCGACGCGCGCCTTCGACATTTTTCCGCGGTATGACCGCAACTAGGCTTGCGCAGAATGCACGCAGTGTGACCACATTGCCACTTGCGATAAATGCCAAAGGCTGCATACCCTAAATTTGCCACAAAGACGGGATAGCACTTTTGCTGAGTAGTTAGCAAAGACTCCAACCCACCGATCTAAGCCATTACCACAACTACACAAACAATTTTTAAGACTTTTCCACGGGATTTGTTTCGTTTATTTTTGTATAACAAAGTCGTTTGTATAACAAAGTCGTTTGGAGCTATTCAGCGGCCGTTTTGGTACAAATTTGCCACTTTACCGCCATCTGCATTGGCTTTTAATTCAATAGCAACAGGTTGAAAAGGCGGAAAGTGCCAATCCACTTATTTATAATAAATCCAACTGGTTCCAGAGATTTTTAAAATTGTTCTTGGCTTACTTAACAATCCAATTTGTGGATTGTTATTGTTATTTATGAGGACGAATAAAATGCCTAACATTTAACCACTTTAGCAGCAACGTATTCTCCAAGTAATCCAACTAAGTACAAACTCCTTTCAAGTGCAGATATTGGAATGCTAAATCCCTGAACCGTCCGGATGAGTCCTCCAACCAGAGCCTCGTCAAGGACATTGTCTGTCTCCTTTCCACCTTTTGGCCCCAGGGGGCGACAGACTGTGGGGCCTGCGCCGGGCCTCCTCCTCTCTGGAGGCTCTGCTACTCCCTGGCACCGGACCCTGGCTGCCTGCTGGCGCGGGCCCAGCCGGGGCGCCTCTCCAGGGAACCACCTGGTGCACGATGGTGGACAGAACGGTGGTGCAGCCCGGCTTGATAGCCAGGCGGTAGGTGCGACTCGGGGGGTCCTTGAGGGGGTGCTGCTCCTTCCATTGCACAGAGAAGTCGCAGCGCACGATGCAGAGGCGGACCATTCCGCCGGAGTTTAGGTCGTTCTTCGTGCCCGCGGCCACGGCATCGCACACCAGGGCGCAGGCGGACTCCTCGGAGATATCCTCCGACCACCGCGACTCCAGTATGGACATGGCCGACTGGTCGCCGGACCCGAGTGACGTGAATGGCGCTGAGTCCGTGGTGCCATCGAACCGGGTGCAGAATAGGTGGGCTCCGCTTGCGTCCACGCCGCCTATGACCACGTTCGCCTGCATGTTCCCGTTGAAGCGGAACAGCAGCTGCCGCATCATCTGGTTGGCACAGCGCACAGGCACCCTCCGGAAGCCAGTGTTCATCCGGTGCAGCTCCAGCTGCGCACGCATCAGTTGCATCAGGGCGGTCGTGTCTCCAGCGACTCCAGCACCACCGGCACTGGGGGGTTGATCCATAATACATTTACTTTAAGCCCAAGTTTTGAAATTTGAAATTAAATTGATGAAAGGAAGTCGAAGGACGTTCCAAGGTCTAGTATGTCCATTGCATACTTACAAAATGTTGGTCTGCAGCTGGGAAATTTTGCGGCTTCTATTCGAGGGTATTATGTTGGCGCTGGTCGCCCTGGATTCGGCGCCAATGATCACGCCGCCATCGAAAACGATGCCCACTATGGTGGTGCCAGTGGCAATGCGATCCGGCTCCGAAAGGCCACTCTCCATAAGTCTTTTGTTGCTGTGGGAGGAGTACGGAATCAGGAAAAATATGGATAACAAACTTGTGCTAGTTGTTCCAACTAAATGTTTTCGATTTCTATTTGGTTGAGGGAGGTTGGCTTGCGGATGCTTGACTCTTGAATGTGGATACGTATATAAGTTTGTGTTCCGACTGCCTTTGAGCAAAGTAAGTGGGAAGTACGTAGGTGCAACTCACCGCAAACAATTGTCGAAACTAAACCCGCTGGGACCGCACAGATAGGGCGATCGTGCAGGGCATTTCATCAGGGTGGGTATTCCGTTGAACATGATCTCTGCAGAATATAAAATATATCTGGATTCTGGGGAGACTCGTGCTCGAATGACAGTCTTTCGAGTTCAAGCCCCAGGCCTATTTGGGATTCGTTTAAAGTGCTAAAATAAATTTGAATATAAAACCAAGTTAGAAAAAATCCATTATCAGAGATGGGACATTTGAAAAACGGTTGGGGAACGCGCCCTATCGGCGGACTTTCGAACTGTGCCTGCGCAACATTAACACTATTTCCCCGAACGGTCACTCTACGGGAGTCTCGACAAAATAAACGTAAATAAATGATTGAAATTAAGGCAAAACTGCTGCGGGCGGACTCGGCCATCTACGCCACTGGCGAAAGAGTCGAGTGCCTGATCGAGTTCACCCACAAAGTGTTCTCCGACGAGCAAACCGCGTCCCAGGCCCGCGATGCCAACGAAGCAAGGTAAGCCGAGCTGTTACCTTGTTTACTCCCTTGATTCACCTTACAAATCCGATCAGGAGCCCGGAGAACCTGGCCTGGGCCTCGGCACAGCTGCACTGCTACCGGAAAACCAGCTACTCCACTTCCGCTGGGGACAGAGCCGCGGAGCTCACCGAGATGATCGGCAGGACGGCCTTAGATGCGGTGACCCAGGCGCCGGGCGAAGTGATTGTGGCCACGAAGCCCAAGATCCTCTTCTGCGATCTCCGCCTACAGCCCGGAGAGACCAAGATGTGTGAGTAAGCCAAGATGAGTGAGCGGTTTGCCCTACAAGAACTGTGTTTATGTTTAGTTATTTGGTTTTATTTACGAGTATGTAACCTTGCAGACTTCTTTAATGAATTTGTTCCGCGCGATGGCCCACCCACATACAGAGGTCACAACATCCGGTACTTCTACAAGATCACCATTGCTACCCAACGTGTCAAGTCCAAGGTGCAAACGCTGACCGTTCCCATCCGCGTGTTGCCCATTCCCATAATTTCCCGGCCCGATGAGCTTCCCGTAACCGTTGAGACCAACGAGGAGCTGGCGCCCACCAATCCATTCCTGGAGAAGCGAGAGATCAGCGAACTGGAGATATCCTGGCACCACCTTAAGGTTAGAAAGTCATTCAAATCTAGCTTTAATAAGCTATACCCTTTTTATATCCGCTGCTCTGTGTCTTTCAGAACGTAACCGCTCGTCGGGCACCGAAGTTCTATCGCATCTCGAACAAGCGTGGCTTCGTGGGCCGCTTTTGTCTGTTTAAGCCTGCCTATAAGCTCGGCGAGGACATTGTGGGCAGCCTGGACTTTGATCCCGGTGTGAACCCCCAAAAGGTTGGTGATATTTCCAAAATTGATTTTCTGTGGTATTGCCCGACTATTTAAGTTGTATATTTCGGAAAATATTTTGATTACTATTTTTATTATTTATATATATTTATATTAATATTTATCTTTTGGCATCTTACCAGGTGCGCTGCGTCCAGTTCTCGGTTAAGCTGCAGCAGCAGGAACTTTCCATCCGGCCGCAGCCAGTGCATAGCCAGCTGCAATCCCAATCCCCGACGGGCGATGATGTTTCCTCGATTAACTCTTTTGATATGGCTAGCATAGCCAGCGGAGTGGTCGCCGACAACCTCCACAAGTCGGCCACATCGGCGAGTTCTCGGGATAAGGAGGCGCCTGAGCCAATCGGGAAACTTTCGACCACTTCCACCTCCCACCAAGTGTGCTACGCCACACTCCAGACCCAGGTCGTGGTGCCTATTCCGCTGCATGTAACACCCACATTCCGCACTGACCTCGTCGACGTCCGATGGCGATTGCATTTCGAGTTTGTGACCACCACTTTGATGGACTTTGGCATTCCAAATCCGGAGTTCGGGGAGCTAAAAGCACCGGCCGAAATGCCTGTGGAGACGATGGTGTGGAACCTGCCCGTGACCGTCTACGCTGCGAATCCCCTCCAGATTTATGCTCCAAACCAGACATTTAACCTGCTTATAAAGTGATTGAAAGGCATTTCAGATTTGGTTGACCCAAAATTATTAAAGCTTAACAAGGTTCAAGATTTTTTTTTGGCATATCGATAGAAATTGAAAAAAAAAAATAAATAAAAAGAAAAATATCAAAAAAGATGTTCAAAGGTGTGCGCGTGGGAGTTTTGGACAGTTTGTGGGCGTGACAAAATTTTTGTTTAGCATATCGATAGAAATTGGAAAGACAAATAATGAATTGGGAAATTTTCCGTTTGAGTGGAATCTCCATCTCAACCTCATAGCTTTCATAGTTCCTGAGATCACGACGTTCATACGAACGGACATGGCCAGATCTCCTCGGCTACTGATCCTGATCAATAATGTTCAGGCTTCTTTCTTCCTGTTACATTCTTTTCAACGAATCTAGTATACCCTCTTACTCTAAAAATAATGGGTATAGAAAGTAATCAGCCTGCGAGTAGCCGCTGAACATTCATCAAGCAAAATGCTTGGACTAGACTCGCAACTAACGATGTTAATCATGACAATATTTACCTTGAACGGTCAGAGAATCAGTTTTCCGCATCTCAATTTATTCTGAGGTGCAAAATTCACAGAGGCAACAGGTAATTGTTGCCTCTGAACTTTGAAATCGGCAAATATTATAAGGGTACACAACAGCGGATGTGTAGGTAAATTTAATAAGTGCTTATGTAATTACAGTTGAAACCGCGAGTAACAGCCAAGAAAATCGATTAAAAGAGAGCCATTGTGTGAAGGTGTGTTCTGGAATTCACTTGTTGGCCAGAATCTCAAACTTGATGCCGTGGTCGTGCTTCTCCAACTCGCTAATTAGGCCCGTCTTAGAAAAGGCGGCAGCTGGAGTCAGCACTCCGCCTGTGCTGGGCATCTTGTCTGACTCACGAAGAATGGTCAGTGCCGTGGAGAGCAGGGCCACGCAGGTGGCTCCGTAGCCAGGATTCATGCCCGACACACGGACCATTAGCGTCTTGGTCGGGGACTCCGTGTACTGGTCTGAACTTTCGGCCAGACGATCGCTTTTGGGCCAGCCAGTGGCCTTGAAAGTCATCTTAAAATAGGTGCGCTCCATGGACTCCTCGCTTGGTCCGGAACGGGAGGCCAGTCCTCCTGAAAATAGGCCAGGGTAATTAAGCAGCAGCGTGCGTCCCAGCTGAAACTTTGACAGCAGACCAAAGATGCTAGCAAAGAGGATAACAGCGCCAGCGACCAGCCAAGAGGGAAATCCCACATAGGCCTGCATCTGGACCGGCCTCTTTTGGTTCTGCTCGTAGAGGAAGCGCTGCGACCTCATCACCACCGAGCGGTCGGAGCCGGGGAAAGGTAAACACACTTTGTCTACCTCGGCGGAGCGGAAGATCAGCGGTCGCGGCTGGAGGATGGGATAAAACTTGGGCATTCTCTGGGAGTACAGCTGCTTCCGGATGCCGCGCAACTCGTCGGAATGAGCCAGCCCGTAGACAGCGCTCTCCCAGGTTCCGTAGTTAAGTCCGGCAGTGCCTCCGCCACTCTCTCCCTCTTTGATTCCGCTCTCTAGGAAGGTCTCCACGGAGTTCACCACGCCGTCGAAGTTCTTTTCCACAAAGATGACCCCCATGTCGGCGGGGATAGAGTCAAAACCACAGGCACTGACCACGTATACGCCCTTTTCCTTTGCCCGCTGGTCGTACTTCAGTTGCATTGTCTCCATGTACTGGGGCTCTCCGCTGACGTCCACATGGTGCGTGCCCGATTCGATGCAGCACTTCACGACGTTTTCGCCGTGAAACCGGTAGGGTCCTGCTGTGTTTACCACAATCCGGCACTTTCTGGCCATCTCCAGCAGGGAGGCCTCGTCGTTGACGTCCGCGATGAAGATAGGCACCTGCGACAGGTCCTTTTTGGCCTTGGCGCCCATCTCCTTCAACACCGCCTCCAGCTTCTCGCGGTTTCTGCCCGCGATTCCCCATCGCAAGCCTCGCAGCACGGTGACCGCCTCGAAAACCGTGTACTTGCCGGTGAAGCCACTGGCCCCAAAGATTATCACATCCAGTCGATCGCCTGACATTTCGCAGTAAGTCGCCTCCAAAGATTCGTTACCAGATTGCGCGATATTGCCCTCTGGAATTACAGGTGTGATTTAACGCCCTGCGTGGGATAGATCGACTTGCTCACCTGAATCGCTGTCTACTGGTTCCGCCTACTGAGCTGTTTATTGGCGTTTTTACTCCATATATATTCAAATACATACATGGATGGAAAACCCAACCGGCCAAAGTCGAAGCTAGAGCTGGGAAACTATCGATTGTTTTTTGTCGCTATTGATGGTGCTGTGAGAAATTTGCACATTCCTGACTACAGCACAGGACACGAGGTTAGGAAATTTGGGTAAGAAACAATTAAAATTATATAATAAAGCTTTCCTGATAAAACTGACCCAGAGTTGGAAAATGTGAAGTGTGGACTTATTTGTAAGATCCAATAAGACGAAATGTGTATCAAGCGGAAAAGTTTACCGTACAAGCAGAAACACATCGAACCTATTCGACCATTTAAAGCCTATGCATCCAACATTAAACGTTGAAGATTTGGCGGTGTCTTCATCAGTTTCTCAGTGTCTGAGTTGTGGAAACACTGGATTTCGCGACATGCCAACAGCTTTTCATCCGCGATTTTAACTACCATCTTGTAGGACATTGCAAAAAGATTTCATGGCGGAGCAATAAAAATTAGCTAATGCATATTTAGGCAATGAATATTTTATTACTGTGCCATGCACATTCGTATCTAGTAATTCCAAATAACACACTGCTGTCTTCTCAACTAAAAAGTTAATTTGCGAAACAAACCACACAGCGCAAAACATTCAAAAAACTACAAGCTTTAATTAATTAAGATTAAGGTAGATTAATTGTTGCAATTGCGACTGATAACGCTAGATCGATGATCAAGGCATGTGATTTTCCAGATCACTAGGGACAGGAAACTCTTGGGGGGGGTTGGGGATTCGAACTTAAATTTAATACACTTTCGTCCTAGTCTTTTTACTTCTCAATTACTTGAACGACTAGATTACGAATAGTAAAACCCTAAATCACGAATAACGGGAATAAAATTAACGCACTGTTATCATATTTCCAAAGTGTGAGGTCTGAGCTGAAGATTGTGGCCATTAACATTACGTTTGCCAAATCCAGTTATTTAAAATAACGACACTGCCTAACCGGTTGAGGCAGATCAATCACCCGATATTTGGGGGAAGCAAGGGACATCCGGAAGTTTCGTATAGGTATAAAATGTGTAGTTACAAGTCAGGCTCAAGCATTCTGCTGCATCAACTCAAAATGAGGCTGCACCTTATACTACTGGCTGGGCTCCTGACGGTGATTACAGTTCAATCCCAAGTACTCCTCCCGGGACTTCGTGTTCGACAGATTCCCGTGCTTGAACAAGGCCAGATTCGAGTAGTGCAGTACCTGGATGCGGCATCAACAGTCACACCTGAGCTGGTAAAGGATCAATTCAGCAGGCGATTCACTACGCTGGCCAAACCCTTAATTAGTGGTGCTGCTCCCCAAACCAGCCTCCCAAATTTGTAATTTATTATTAAAGACCAAAAGCCATCGTGTGATAGCTTTTGATAAGCGAATATTTATACATCACATGTTTTGATTTTTATGCCATTAACTCGAATTCTAACCTATGAACTTTGTATGGAGTATTTTATGGAGTAAAAATTGTTAGAAATGAATTGAAAAGTGTTAAATCATCGGAAAGAAACACTTTTTTAAATGAAAACAAAATATTCCCAACAATGTGTGCTAATCCGGGACCAGTAATTTAGTAATCCCATGGCTAAGGTTTCTGAAATACGAAGGGAAGACAACCAGACCGGAATATTCTTGTAAGACTTGCATCAATATATGCTGAGTTACAGTCAGGAAATGATTTGGTCAACCATTCCCGACAGCGCAGATCAGCATTCGATAAAGTCGGAAACTTGGAGTGCTTGATTCGAAATATGCGGAGAGAATGGCCCAGGTTATAAGTGAGGACGGGATTTGAAATCCTAATAGCTCAGCTAACTGTGCTGATACTCGCCGTAAGGCGATCAGTTCCTTGCTAGCATTAGCCTAAGTTAAGAGATGAAATGGATCTTCCATGGGATAAAATGCAGCCGGTCTTATCAGAAAACGTAATTGAAGTTTGCCTGATTTCAGATGATCCGAGAGGCAACCATACCTTGTCGTTTTTCGTTGAATTTCAACGTAGCAAATTAACACTTTAGGAATTCCCTAAACATTTATATTTTAAACCCACTTTTGAATGTGCGCTAAAAACTGCATTATTTAGTGATAATTTGAAGGGAACATTTGATCATCTGGCCACACTGCCAAGTAATAGTCATAGAATTGAATGAAAATAAAGTCGCACAACACAAAGTCTTGTTGAGAGGTTCCGAGATTCAGCGAAGATGTACCAGGAATATCTAAACCAATTGCAGGCCTCCATCGCTCCCATGGGCTCCGAGGAGCTGAAGGAGCTGCTGAACAACGATGACAAGCTGGACGAGAAGGTTGACGAAGTGCTCCAGGTGCTCCGAACACAGAAGGTTAGTGTTTTCGAGGACAACAGGAGTCGGGCGGAGCGCAACATCGAGCGGGAGCCCCAGATCATCGAGCTGCGGAGCCGGCTGGCGGAACTCTCGGAGGAGGGACGCACCAGGTGCTCCTCTGTCCAGGAAAAACTTTCCCAGCTCAAGGAGAAGTCGGGCGGAATGGGTCCGGAAACGGCGCTGGCCCTGCTGCAGACAGCTGCCTCCGAGAGCGAGGAGCAGACCGAGGAGATGGTCAAGAAGTTCAACGACAGCGATACTGGGGTGGAGGCCTTTCTGGAGGAGTTCCTCGCCAGCCGGCGAACCATGCACCTGCGTCGCCTCAAGGCCGAGAAAATGCAGGAGCTGATGCGCAAACAGCGCCAGGGTCCGCCAAATACATCCCTGCCAGCCTACGGAAACGTGCCCTCCGGCGGATTCTATCCCATGGCTGGAGGTTCGGTGCCCTACCCAAAGATGGGACCCCTGATGCCCATGCCACCGCCATCCAGACCCTACTGAGTTCTCGGCCCTTTGTCCTAAGCGAATTACTGCCATGGCTCATCAGTCTGCAGCAGGCAAGTTTTTACATTTAGTAAACTGTGAACAAAGGGTGCTTTTATCAGATAATTGTTCTGGGATTTTATAATAGCGTTTTTCCATTGGTTAAAGTAATGATTGTTTCGCCATTTCTAGAAAAGATTAAATTATGCCGTAATTCTTTATTTTTATTTGACCAATAGAATCCACATAACTGGCATTAGTCCATTTTCGAAACAGCGATTTTATTGTAACTTCAAATTATGGTTTACTTAAAAGGGAGGTTAATATTCTCACTCAGCCATTTTTGATTATCAGCATCATTGTCAAGACTTTTGTCTTATTTATCCTTGCAGGGCGCACCCAAATAACTAACAAAACTTTATGTCCTATAGTTAAAAACTGCTTTATTGTTTAAAATTTAAGAATCCTCACTTTAAGTACATATTGCTTCAGTTTCATCTTCTGATTACAGTGGGTGAATTGCAAATCAGAGGGAACTTTCTGGTGCACACATTTCAGCCTGCACCCAACTATGATATATATGTATATGTATAAATTAAGAGAAAATTAACATTTCTATTAGACAGTGGACATTTCTTGTTAAAATAAAAACTTTTTGGATAAAAAATGAAACGGATTGGAGTGTGCATATAGTGGGAGTATGAGGCCAAGGCTAGGCGGCGATTAAAGCGATTTCTTATTGCATAGTGTGATTGTGGGTTAACGATTAGTTGGAAGGATTGTGCTCATGGAGTGTGTGGGTTTTTGTTATGTATACATAAACGTATTGCCTATCTCTCGACTTCGGTTCAATTTTAGTTTTGCATTTGTGTTTCCTCTTTGAGAACGGTTAGTCTTTTCTAATTCCAACGGCCTCCGGTCAATGTATATATGTAAATATATAGATTGTATCGTGTTTGCAAAATGTTATATATAAAATATGTTGAACTCTCCGTTCGGCTTGGATCGGTTTGGTTCTCACTTTAAAAGCTTAATGACTTAAGCGCGTGTTTAAGGCTATTCAAAAATATATTCCTACAATCGCTAGCCATTCGCGTGGGCAACGCCATCATGACGATCCAAACTCCTTCATCCACTTCTCGTACTTGTCCAGGTCCGCGCGGGACACGCTCTTATTGCAGCGACTCATGGCCTCGTTGAAATCCTTGTTTGATACGGGCAAATCCACCTCTTCCGTAGCCAACTGTCGAATCTGCTCTGGGGTGAGCCCTGCTATCTTTCTCCGCATCGACATCATGCTGGCCTCCCTTGGAAATTAAGAAGACGCATTTTATTAATTGGAAATGGCATACATAAGGTTGCTAGAAACCTGCAATTGACTAAGCCATTTTAAATGAGAGCATGCTGAACTCACCTGCACACGTTTGTGATGTCGGCGCCGGAATAGCCCTTCAGCTCATTGGCTACGTAGGTAAGATCAACGCTATCATCCACCTTGACCTCGCGGAGATTGATCTTAAGCAGGGCCTCGCGACCTTCATCCGATGGCAGTGGGATGTAAATGCGTTTTTCCAAACGACGCCGAAGCGCTTCATCGATGTCCCAGGGAAAGTTGGTGGCGGCCAGCACCATCACCACCTTGGCCTGTTCCTCTCCGCCGCCCACGCCGTCCATTTGCACCAGCAGCTCCGACTTGACTCGTCGCGAGGCCTCGTGCTCCGATTCCGATCCTCTGCGAGAGCACAGGGAGTCGATCTCGTCGATAAAAATTGTGCTGGGCGCGTAGAACCTGGCCATCTCAAACAGAAGCCGCACCATCTTTTCTGACTCACCGCGGTACTTGGATGTTAGCGTGGCCGAGCTCACGTTGAAGAAGGTAGTTCCGCATTCGGTTGCCACCGCCTTGGCGAGCATTGTCTTGCCTGTACCTGGCGGACCCACCATTAACACACCCTTCCATGGTCGCCGGATACCCTGTTTTTATAATAGAAAAAGTGATAATGTACAATTGCTAGACAAAGTTTGCAAATAATACTCTAATGTTATACATTCTAATTGTTTTGATCTGCAGCAGCACTTTAGGTTTTTGATTTTCCTCATTGAACCCATTTGCCTGTTCATATATTTATTATTTAATGAATTTAATAACCTATATTGGAGATGCAGGTAACATTTCTTCAAATCAAATAAAAATATCTAGGTTTCTTAACGCTACCATCCATGTTCCATCTATTTTTGTTGCAATGGCTTATTCAGTGAAGTGGTAAATCAAAAATGTTGCTGTATGCTTCTCTGATGCCCACCTCGTACAACACCTACGCAAAATTAAAAAAAAACACTTGTTATATGGGGAAAATAGTTGTTGTCCGGAAATATCGGAATACCACAAATATTTGTAAACGGTCGACATAGCAGTCGAACGCAGCCTGAGATGCTTGGATCATTGATTTTTAATGGTGCTAGAAACATATGGCCAGCATTCCAATTTAAAATAAGTATAGAAATTACCTTAATTTGGCGTAGGCTGGGTAGAATAAACAAGTTGTATAAGATAACAAAAGTATTGGTACATTATAATCAATGGAACTTTTCAAAATGCCCCTAGGAATAGTAGAATGGGCTGACAAGAGCCAAGGCTGACAAGGCGATGCGCTTCGTGACAGCTTAGAACAGTTGATCAAATACTTATTGCCCTGAGCCTAGCAGACGCAGCCACTACAATATCGTACGTTTGTTGACCCATCGCCGAACGAGATAAGCGGTTGGCAAAATGTGATTCACAGCAAACAAATGGCGGGGGTGACGCACCTTGAAGTAGTCCGGCATGAGCATTGGCAGCACAACGGCCTCCTCCAGCAACCGCTTGGCGTCGTGCAGGTCGGCAATGTCGCTCCAGCGCACTTTGGGGTCCTTTTGAAGAATATCACGTTCTGGAAAAGGAACGGGGACATGTAGAAAATGTTATGCTAAGTGTACTTTTCCAGACCCACATTTTCTTTAGTACTACAGTTTTCGAAATCTCCACACATTTTAAGGAAATTTGCGGCAACGATTTCGTTATAAATATTATTATTATATATTACCAAGAATGTCGACTAGCTCGGCTTCGATGTGGTTGTTGGGCTGAAACTTGCGCTCTTCCTCCTGGGCGGCCTGCGGATCGCCGTTTTCTCCCTCGCCGGGCACTCCACCATTGATGCCTGCGGCGGTGGAGTCGTCGTCCCTAGCCTCGTTGGTGTTCGATGTGGACAGCTTGCGACCGCCAGCCCTTCCATTGGTCGTGCGTGCTCCGCTGTTCGGTGCTGTGGTGGACGTTGAGTTGCGGGAATTTCGTGTAGAGGACGGGCCGTTCCGGGCAGTGCTCTGCGGGATTGTGCTGCTGGGGCGGCTGTTTTGCGTTGCCGGAGTGGTGCGGCGGTTGTTCGGTGCGCCTCGTCGACCAACGGCCTGTGTGGTGGGTGGTGGTTTCGGCGGACCCCACACATCGGGATCCTTGGGCGGAGGCGTCCAAATGTCGGGGTCCGGTTTGAACCAGGCGGAAGGATCTTTACTGGTGGTGCTTTCTTCGCTGAGCTGGTGTCGCAGCTTATGAGCAAATTTGGTTGACTGCAGGTCCAGCGAGATGTCTTGTAGGGTTCTCTGAATAGCCTTGATTTTGGCGTGTTCCTGGCTAATCTGCTGGTTGATCTGCAAATCGATAGTTAAAGGTGTCAATGAATAGTTAGGGGTGGCAAATTGACAAATACAAAAACTTTTTGAACCCACTTGTTACAAAAGTTCAGTATGGCATAAATATTTATAAATTTGTAAACTGCTATTGGGATTTTTATTCAGATTCAATGGAGTTTTACCCAGTTTAGTAAAAGTAATTGCTATGTATATGCTTCCTGCTCAGTACCTATTTTAGTCATTCGATAAGATTTAGTGTTCTGATACAGTGTTGTCATTTATGTATATTTATAATATCTTTATACGCATGTTAACGATCTAGATAACTCGTTTACACAAAACATACAAAAACGCCGAGTTGCGTTAATAAGATGCTATGACTAAGTCCTTTGTTTGTGTTAACAGACATCATTTGCACTTATTGGGAGGGTAGTTGGCAGTACTTGTTGGAGGTGGTGATAGGAATGTCTTACCATGCTCCACTTGCCCTTGCGCAGCGGATCCGCGGTGGCCTTTAGCTGGCGGGCGAGCAGCCCCTGGAGGCCCTCGTAGTAGATGCAGGCCGAGTCGTAGTTGCCCGTCAGAGCCATGTCCCGTGCTAATTTGGCATTCTCGCATATTTCTTCGAACGTAGTCTTGGCCATTACGGTCATTCCTACGCAAGTGGTTGTCTTTTGCTTGCCACCTCGCAGTAACTGGCGATCGGAACAGGTTGTCGTCATTGTGGCCAAAAACGAGAGACAGAGATTAGTTCCAATTAAAGCGTTCGAGTGCGTGAGTTTCTCCAAGTGTTTCTGGGTGGGAAGGGGAACAATAGAACGGAAGCGACTTCGTCATTCGTTGGCTTGCCTTGGAGGTAAAAATGGAAAGTGCGTCTCCGAGCAAGAAACGAATAAAGTGGAAAACCGGGCGACAGTTGCGAATAATAGAAGATACCAGTGGCAACGACCCAAGTGCGCTGCTAATTATAAATTATCAAGCGCACAGCCGCCGAGGTGTCACCAAATTTAAACGCAACGCGCTCCCATTTTCAATTCCGCCTTCGAGGCGGGACGTGGGCCAAATGTCGATTGGAAAATGTATTAAGTAGTTATGAGCCAAATAAGGCGCTCGACCTTGTTGGCTTTGAATAATTCTTTCAACTCGAATCGTCGTATGCAAAAAACAAAAACACAAAAGTAAAAAACAACAAATTTAACGCTCGCACAAACACACGCACACGCAGCTCAGGTTTCAGCGGCACACAACACACTCGTACACACGCACACGAGCGAACAATGAGGGGAATTAATGCGATCTAAATATATTTAGAGTTAATTGCATTCCTTGGGAAACCGCAAACTGCACTTTGCATTCGGCACTTCAACACAGTTTTATTTTTCCTATTTTAATTCCAGCTACGTGGGGGCGTCTGCAAATGCAGCAACAACAACAGCAGCGCTGACGCCTCGCCGCCGCACAACTACAACTGCAACTGAGCGATTTGCGGGCGACTTACGGTTATGGACATTAGTGTACTAGCTTTGTTACGCGGCGTTCCGAGCGCAAAACAAATGCGTAAGCTATTTAATTCACAGTTTAGAGCACTGCGTTAACTAAAATAAACTGCTGCCTGCCTGTTTTTGTAATACTAGCGATGTGCATGCTCTGGTGTTGAGCGGATTATCGATACATCGGCCCGGAAACTTGACCACCCTGTTGCGTTCGGTAGGTGCAACAGTCGGTGGTTATCGATAGTTTCCAGGGGTGCTGAAAATAATTAAAATAATAATTTTTAAGACGAACTACAAAAAATAAACGCGTCCCTCGACTATCAGATACCCCACATTCTGCTAACCAGCTTATATCAAAATACGCCACATATATTGATATTATTGATTGATATTACATCAGTGAATAAACTTCTGTTTTATAATTCTTTAAATACAGTTCATATCATGTTCATTTTTGTTGATTAATTTCAAAAGACTTAAAATAATTATAGATGGCTTAAAAACATTTTAAACTGCTCAGGCATCAAAATAAAATGAATTAGAATATGATTGCATGTCTTATTTCTGTAAAATAAATATATATGTAGGTATTGCCCAAACGTATATTTCCACTTAGTGACTTACCAATTTCCAACTGTTTGGATTTATCATTCTAAATCGTTTTCTTTGGTTTTCTTAATATTTTGTCCTGTTCTGGGAAAATAAACTGGTAAATCAACAGAAAAAATAAAACAAATGTGTAAGTCTTTGATCAGTTAATTACATTCAAGGACATGAAATAAAAAAAAACTTTCCGCAGTGGACATTACTAAATTTCCATAAAATGAAAGGACGTTGCCATCCCTCAGCGAACTTCCAATTAATAGCTATAACATTTGCAATACTTTAGCAGCAGTCTGGTATCGCTGCAATAAAGATAAGGCTAGTACGACAAGTCATCGGTTATCGGTTCTTAACATTTCGGCTTAACGTGCTTAAACCCATTTAAATTTAGACACCACGCAAGCGACGGTGCCCGCAATGACAACGCCCACGCGTGCCACCCTGGAGAAGGCTCTAAAGAGCGACCAGAAGCTTGTAAAGGCCGCCACACAGATAGCCAAAGGCAGATTTACACCCGCATCCGTGTCGAAACTACCCTTCTCACAGAGATTTCTTTGTTTCCTCCAGATCTGACTTCCAAGGCGTACGACATATCTGATCTGTGCCTCGCTCTGGGCTTCGCCTTGTCCTCTCCGGACATGGTGGAGCGGGTGGCCGGGACCAACCTGCTCTCCGCCGTACTGATAGCACTACCGCAGGATTTGCTTCCGGAGCGGCAGCTGGAGTTCCTCAGCTCCTTTTACATGGACCGACTGCGCGACCATCACAACGTAATGCCAGCAATCATCGATGGAATCGACGCCCTGGTCCATATGAAAAATATACCGCACGCACAGATTTCCCTGATTCTGCAGTCATTCTTCGAGCACACCACCTGCCAGTCGCAGACGCGGGGCGACCGCACCAAGATGTTCTACATTTTCCAGTACCTAACGGAAAACTTTAAAGACGGTGAGCCTCGGCTTCCTCTTAGTAGGAAAGATACTTTGCTTGCCAACCACATAATTTGCTTTTATCTGATTTTATCTATGAGCGCATTTATTTTAGTATTCAAAAAATTAGTAATTAGATGATAGTAACTCGTAGCAGAGATATTTGCAACAATGTTAGGTAATCATGATTGAGCTTAAAATTTGTATAAATATCTGTACATTTTTACTGTCACCCACTTAGTCGATGCGTTGATGTATTCAATTTATTTAAATGAAAAAAAATTAGAAACTGGAAGTAATTGTTGTTGCCATACGAATCATATAGGCAAACTTCTAGAACTAATACTACAACTTAAAAAAATGTTCCTTTCCATACAGAGCTCCAAGCGATGGCCGGTGACTTCGTCTACGGTCTGATCAATTCCATTGACGGCGAGCGTGATCCCCGCAACCTTGACATCATTTTCAGTTTCATGCCCAAGTTCTTGTCTACGTATCCGCTGCTGCATTTGGCCGAGGAGATGTTTGAGATCTTCGCGTGTTATTTTCCAATCGACTTTAATCCCAGCAAACAGGATCCGGCGTCCATAACCCGCGATGAATTGGCAATTAAGCTGACTAACTGCCTGGTAGCCAACAACGAATTCGCTGAGGGCACAGTGGTTCTGGCTATAGAAAAGCTGGAGAGTGAGCTACTGGTTGCCAAACTGGACTCCATAGAACTGCTGGCAAGAAAATATAAAATTTTTAAACGACGTTTTTTTATAATTGCTATTTATTGTTACAGCGTCAAGCTGGCTTGAAGTTCCCGCCTTCCGTTCTGGAGCCGCACTTCGATCAGATCTGGCAGGCTATAAAAGCAGAGACATTTCCTGGAAATGACAATGAGGAGGTATTAAAGGCGTCCCTTAAGGCTTTGTCTGCGCTCCTGGAGAGGGCTTCTCACATACCCGATATAAGCCACAGCTATCAGAGCTCTATTCTGGGAGTAATCCTGCCACATCTCAGCGATGTCAATCAGCGGCTCTTTCATCCTGCCACCGGCATTGCCTTAGTTTGTGTATCGGGAGATGCGCCCTATGCCGCGGACAAAATCCTCAACAGCTTTTTGCTCAAGCTGCAGGCCGCAGATGCCAGTTCTGAACAGCGGATCAAGATCTATTACATAGTTAGCCAAGTCTATAAGCTGTCTGCGCTGCGTGACTCTCTGCAGAAATTGGATACCACTATACGTGAGGCTGTGCAGGACGATGTAATCGCCTCCTTGCGCCTAATTGAACAGGAAGAGTTCGATGCCGAGAAGGAGGACTTAGAGTTGCAGAAGGCGGCCCTTTCTGTGCTTAATGAAAGTGCTCCCGTTCTTAGTGAGAAACAACGCGCTTTAATTTACAAAGCTCTGGTTCAGCTTATCAGCCATCCGTCCATCGACTTGGATTTCACCACACTGACGGTCAGTCTTGGAGCCCTGCAACCGGTGGAAGTGCAGTCAAATTTCATTGATGTCTGTGTGCGGAATTTCGAGATTTTCTCCACATTTGTCAAACGAAAGATATACACCAATTTGTTGCCGCTCATGCCTCAAATAGCGTTTACTCAACGCATTCTAGATTTAGTTATGACTCAGACGTTTAACGATACTACTGCAGAGCCCGTGCGTTTATTGGCCCTGGAAGCTTTAAACAAACTTCTCCTGCTACAGGATCAGCGCTTTATCGTGGACCTGCAGCAGCAGTCCAACCTTCTTCACAAGCTCATCGAACTGGGCCAGAGGACCGAGGGTCTGTCGCTGCAGTCGCTAGAACAGATTGCGGGCGCTTTGAGCCGTATTATCCAACAGCTTCCACTCTCCGAACAGAGCGCTATCGTAAGCGAGTACCTACCTGGACTCAACCTGAGTCAATCTGCCGATTTGTACATTACCAAGGGACTCCTCGGCTACCTTCATAAAGACATAACCCTCGATGACCATTTTGAGCGGCTTCTGACCGATTTGACACAGCTCTCTCTTAATACGGATAACGAACAGTTGCGTGTAATCGCTCACCACCTGCTCTGTAGCATGGTCAACAAGATGGAGCGTAACCCAGCTAACCTAGGCAAGGTGAAAAAAATTACGGAGCAGCTGAAGGTAGCAATTAAAAAGGGCGATGTGCGGGCGGTGGAGATCCTTGCCTGGGTAGGAAAGGGCCTAGTAGTCGCAGGATTCGATGAGGCCGCCGATATTGTTGGCGATGTATGTATAAACTTGTCTCGATTCTATACGTGAAATAACATTGTCTCATTAAAGCTCTCGGATCTACTGAAACATCCCACTTTGAGCACTGCCGCTGCCTTGGGATTTGACATCATTGCCGCCGAGTACCCAGAACTCGATTTGCCCGTCGTTAAATTCCTCTACAAGCAGAAGCTTTTCCACACTATCATGGGAAAAATGGGCAGTAAACTGGCCAACTACTGTGTGCACCATTTAAAGGCTTTTGTCTACGTACTTAAAGCCACGCCACAGGCGGTTATTAAACTAAACATTGAGCAGCTCGGTCCGCTGCTTTTCAAGAGCTTAGAGGAGCACAACGAGGCGCAGTCGCTGTGCATTGCACTGGGCATCTGCGAAAAGTTTGTGGCGCAGCAGGACACGTACTTCCAAGGGCACTTGACCCACCTCATACCCAGCTGTCTGGAGCTGTCAAAATACAAGGCTCAGCATACAATGGTAAGTTAAATGTATCACAACTATTGTCTTTAAGGTTCGTTATTTAATTGAAGAGCTACTCTACTTTTAAAACAAAAAATTTAGGAAACGAAACTTAAGCTCATTTTCTTTCTTATAGCAAGTGCGAATTGCGGCGCTGCAGTTGCTCTACGACGTTACCAAGTATCCTACCTTCGTCCTGTTGCCCCACAAAGTAGATGTTACTCTGGCCCTGGCCGCCGCCTTGGACGATCCCAAGAGACTGGTGCGGAACACTGCGGTGAAGGCCAGGAATGCGTGGTACCTGGTCGGTGCGCCTAGTCCGAACTAGCAAAGTAAAAATCCCTTTCTTGTTAATATTTTAAATCCAATAAGCCAACGCACAAATTCTGCATAATTTCCTTGTTGTTTTTATTAGGGAGGCGCATAACAGTTTTGAACAGCACTAGATGATTAAGGTCTAACAAAATTATATAGTAAACGCGTAATTGTATTACTTAAATACATTTACAAACGTTCTTACTCAAATGTATCTATGATTAAGAATTTTGGAAAGAAATGCTTTGGAGAATATATCCATTTTTAAATACTGGTTCTTTTTTTAAAGAAAGCTAAGACACCTTATTCCTTTTCTCAGACTTGAGACGCAAGTGTCGGTTACTGAATTTTGTATTTTTAAACTTTATACAGTTAAGTGGGCTTATATTATTATTTTTCCGTACATTTCTTCATAGATTGCTAATGTGTGTTCATTTATTCCAACTGGTAACCGCTCTAAACTCTCTGTTCAGTATGGGTGTTCGCACTGGGAACGGGCCATAAGAGCGCACTTTTGAGCACGCTGCACCACCTCGGGACATCGACGTCGCCTCATAAAGCGACAGTCTTGAAAGAATCCCTCGTTTCTGGGAAAGCCGTGCGTGAAGTCTTGGAACGTCAGCAATCCCAGGCCCCAGATCTTGCCGCCTCTAAACTCACCCTCGTACTTCATTCCATCAGCTCTCCAGAAGATCCCATTACCATGGAACCAGCCCTGATGAAACTCGCCTTCGTATCTGTCTTAAAAATGTTGAAAATTATACAATCATATACAATTTTCTTGATTGGATGCAAACCATAGGTAAATTATAGGTAACACATTTGTTTGGGCAAAGACAATTTTAAAAAACAAGGAGAACGCTATAGTCAAGTCTTAAAGTTCCCGAGATCTTGACGTTCTTAGGACGGAATGACGGACAGATGGAACGACTCGATAAGTTATTCTGATCAAGAATATATATGTAAACTAGCTTACCCTTTTACTGTACTAGTAAAAGCTATAATAATAGTTCTCAATGAAAGCAAATACTAGGATATTTCCTTAAGGCTTGCATCAATAATATTGTTGAAACTGACTTTGCTCCATCCGCGAACCAGAGGCAGCCCACTCCTTGGCTAAGACCCTCCTGGAACTGGCCATCGTAGCGGGTGCCATCGGCAAACTGCAGATGTCCGATGCCATGTTTTTGGCCACGCTGGTTCCACTCGCCGATGTAGCGACTGGCGTCCTCGTAGCGCCATCCTCCCACTTTTACTGCCCCTGCGCTGTACTGGCTTTGACCCTGGCCCTGTTGGTGGTGTCCATGCTGACCCTGCTGGTGCTGGTGCTGCTGATGCTGGTTTTCGATTCGGGCCGTGGTCACGCCCACGCTGCTCACTGGGTAATGATTTTTACGCAAGTTTCTATCTGCATCCTTTCGTCCTTTGTTCACTTACTGTCATCGTCGTAGTCGTCCATGGCCATTGCTCCGCTACCGCCCGCGATGCGCCTCAAGCTGCTACTGAGCTTGCTTATTCTGTACCAGAAACCCACACATTGTATGGCTTCCAACGGTGCGACGGCCCTGTTCTAAATCTAATTAACATATTGCACTTCTGCACACTGAAAAAAGGGTACAAAAATATATCACCAAAAACACCAGCCCAATTGTGCCAGTAATTGGAGAATATATAATTATTTCTTAACAGCCAATCATACAGTAAGCCGTAAAACCTTTACAATCGAATAAACATGCAAAACATTTTTGGTTCCACTGTTCTATGACCAACTGTTGCTGTGACCAAGGCTGCCTTCGATTCAATCTCTTCTGTGCGAATAATTAACCCCTACCAGGTTTCAATTCTTGTACAATTTATTATTTCAGTTTAAAGCGGAATATGTGGATGCAGACTTTTTCGTGAGATTACAGATGCCCGAAATGATTATACTATATCGGCGAAGCCTTGAAACTTCCCGACACCGTCATCGTGTCGGTTGAAGAACATGGAAACGGAATTGTACACAAAGTTACTAGCTGAATTATTAACCTAGATATAGTCGTATGTATGTATATAATTGGACTCAAATCAAGTCTAGGCCAGCACAGCTGAAGTGGCCATTTCGCTGACGCCGCATGTGTTGTCACCACGATAAACGCGATAATAGCCCTGCTCTCCCCAGCGCGGGCCCCACGAGTTCTTCACAATCCAGTAGGGCAGGGTCTTGTGGAAGTTCGGATAGTCGGAGACGCCATACCCCACAACCAAAACACCGTGGTCGAGGTTTTTCTTGGAACACAGCGCCTTCCACGGATGGGACACTCCGCCGCGATAGAACTGCATAGCATTCGCATTAATGCCTAGAAATATCATCAGGTTAAGTGGGCTTAGGAGTTTAGTTTTTTGTTATCGTTTTACCGATCGAAATGGGACCCTTGGTAAGCAGCCACTCCTGCATGGCGGTCTCATTTCCTTTGGGCAGATCTACGAAACCGGCAACCTGCACGTGGGACAAAGTCCTGTTGAAGTGGCACTGATTCTTTTTGGCCTTGTATGGATACTCAGCCTCGTACTCTAGGCCGCCAATATCCTTAATGGCTCTGCGGAAGAAGTATTGCATAAGTAGTACATCATAATGTCCATTTCCGCGTTACTTACTTGTAAGCATTGTCCATGAGGCCGCCGTTGCAGGCACTATCCGTGGTATCACAGTCGAGCAGCTCCTGCTCGGAGAACTCTTTCAATTCGCCTGTTTTCACGGCGTACAGGCCTTCGATGTTGCCCGTCACACTAAAGGCCCAGCATGAACCGCAGGATCCCTGGTTTTTCACCGGGGTGACAGCATTCTTCTGCCTCCAGTCAAATTCCTTTGGCAGTTCACCATGATAAGCCGGTACGACAGCCGCCGATCCGCCAGTGGCCTTGGCCTCATCACGCTGCCAGAGACCCGTGCGTTCCTTATATTCCGAGCTTGTCAGGTCAGCAAACTCCGTGATGCCATACTTGGCGCTGCCCATCTCGTTGGTGTTTAGCTCCTCGATGGTCTTTAGGTTCTGACGGAAAATGCGCAGGCGCATCTGGCGCTCGGCGGTGCTCACGTAGCGACGTCCAAATCGCACCTGGAACTTGTGAAATAGGTGGTCCACCTTGTCAAGACCACGATGGCTGTGCTTTTTGTGTGTCTTCTTCTCGGCCCACTCCACGGATCGCGTGTGTCGGGCCTGCACCACCGGTTGGTTGCGGCACTTGAAGGTAATTTCGTGTTCATCCTTCCTTACCCAGACCTTTGTCCAGATATCCACGATGCAGCGGTGCTGCTCTTCCGACCCATCGATTAGATCCGCATCGATACGTGTCAGGATGCCCGAAGCCACTTGCCGTGAGGCTGAGTATACTTTCACGATTCTAAAGTACAGAAAACAGGCGAGTCAAATATAATAAAAACAAGGTAGAATGCTATAGTCCAATTCCCCGACTACCAGATACCCCTTTCTCAGCTAGTGATCAGCTAGTAATGATCGGAAACGCTTTCTTTAACGCTGTTTGCAACAAAATATCATACCCTATTACGCTACAAGTAATTACTCTACTAAAATTAATGAATACAAACATTTAGGATGGTGACTTACTTGTAATGGGGACCCTCTCCCGCGGTCAGTTTGTCGAGAGATTTTTGCAGCTGCGCCTTCGCCGCCTCTTCATCGTAAGGCTTATGCCCGCCCAAGATATCGTTTGCACTGCGTCTGCTGCGATGGACCTGCAAAAAAAATGTATACCGTTTTTGGTTAATATTGTAAACATATTAATTATTCAGCTTAGTTATTTAACAGTATACAATTTTCAATTCATAATAAACTATTAAATTACAGCGATATGACATTCATAGATTTTATTATTTTCCGACTTTTTCTAGTATACCCTTCTATTCTATGAGCATAAGCTCAAAGCTTGCTGGGTTTCTTTTCATACATGTTATTTACTAGTGTAGTATAGTCACTAGTAGTATAATCACTAGTCGATTCGATCTGGCTATGTCCGTCAGTCCATCTGTCCGTCTGAGCGTTGAAATCTTGGGAACAATAAGAGCTAGAAAGTTTAGTTAAGGCATGCACATCCTATCGACGTACAACAGGATTTTAACCTTGCTTACACATTACAATTACAATAAATGTGAACGCCTCCAGGTTAAAAAGAGAGTATTTTTTATTCATTTTTATATATACTTGTATATATATATTTTTTTTTTTGACTATTTCACGGTTGCATTTCCACTAGATGAACAATGGGAGTCTGATAAACAAGGGCATTGACTACAGCGTTTTTAACTGATTTTAGTTCAAAAGATGACATTTAATTCCGCACTAGTTCCAACTTTGAAAATGGAATATCGGAAGTATTTGAATCACACTTTTTAAAAAATATTGACCTTTTACTATTGTTTACTATAGTTACTATTGTTTATTTGAAATTCGCTAAAACGTCGAGACTAACGCGAACTACTTTTGAAAATATAAAATTTTACATTAACAAGATCGCCTTTTGGGACTATTTTTTTGATTCAAATATTTGTTAAGTTTTCGTTCTCCGTCCACATAGAGCATACGACCCCAAAATTAAATCAGTGATGACTCCGTTGGCCCAACCAAAATTTGGAGATCTGGTTCCACAAATCAGACCACGTCGAACTACTCCGAATGCGTAATTAATTAACTGCCCTCCAGCTCAGAACCAGATCGGTGAACAGAAGTTGCGGATCAAAAGTCAAAGACCGCATTCAAGGGGCAGGATGTAGTCGTCCAGCAGCCGCACACTCCGGACTCTTCCTTGCGAGTCGACACCCACGTCGCCGCCACTGGGTGCAGCCTGCTGTTCGACCTTGAGCTCCTCCTCCTCCCTCAGCTCGACCTGATGTCGCTGCATCACCAACATGCCGGCTGCTATTGCCGCCTCCTGGCGCAGCCATCCGGACATGATCCAGATACGACGAATGCATGTTGTCAGTGCGAATTGCTTCATCACGGAAGGAATCTCTGCACAAACCGCGCTTATCAATATATTAACTTCTTAAAAATTACTTATTTACCCACCTTATAAAATAATACAAAAATATATGTCTAGTGGCTTCGAATTGAGTTTACCAAGTAATGTGGTCTGAATTTGGACTGGACGTAAACGCTATTGACAACTTTGTTTCCGCACTACTTAGACTACTATTTTTGGAATATTTTGCTATATCGAAATGAGGGAGTCCTTACTTCTAGGGTGTGAAAACTGCTTTTACTATGAGGGGTGTACCAAAGCAACATATTAATCCTTTATACCCTATTATTATTTCTTTAATCTTCGATAAGAAGCAGATGAGATTCTCTACACAGGCATTCCGCGCATCAAGGCAAAAGACAGGCCAAATCAGCCCTTTGTTTGCTGTCTGAGAGTTCGTTAATCTTGTGCTAATTACGGAACACGGAAACACTTATCCATTACAAACAGACACACAGCTGTCACCACATCAGTCCTGCGACACCCAGAGGAGTGGGGTTGTGAAGGAAACATAATTTATATACGAATGTAGCTGAAACAAGGACATGTCTGAATTTACATTACCGAATCTGGCAAAACGACACATCGTTCTAGTGCACGTGGCTGGAAGAGTTGTGGCAAGGAACATAACGGTCCAAAGGCATCCCCCAGAATTGTGGAACACGGCAACAATAACATCGACAGACACATGCGGCCCATAAAGCATTCAATGTCGAACACAAAACCAATTAAACCAAACATTTTTGCTGGATATTCGTTTGCCGGCTTGCATCGATGATGGTAATATGTTGATGCCGTTGATGGGAGTTGGTTTCTGAGGATCCGGAGCCCCCCAGTCTCTGCCACATCCACATCCACATCCACATCCACAGCCAGGAGCCAAATGTCTGCTCCTGCTGACGCACCCGAGCGACGGGCATGGCGAATGCGAATGAGGACTGCAGGTGGAACCACACTCAAACATTTTATGGCCTACAAGGCCTAGAAAAACATGTAAGTAGGGAAAAGGTGGAATTATATTTTCTACACTACTGTTTGTTCTTAGAGGCAGTGATTCAGATACACTTATTTATTCAAAATTCCAAAATAGTTTTTTTTAATATATTACGATGCTGTAGAATTGCTAGAGAAGTACAGTCTAGTACATACATATAAGGAAACTCTCTGGGTTTCAGAGCGAACACAAAGTGGTGAGCAAACGCCCGCCTGCGTCAATTTTACTGCGACCTTAGAAACTTTCAAACTAGAATGCAGTGGAACTATTTTGGGAGTGCAGGTCACAACAATACCGAATGTGACAACAATACCGAATGGAATGTAATAGCTACGACGTGTGTATAATTAAAAATACAGGAACACAAAAAGAAGCAGTCGTTGGGAGTCCCTGGCCATCCTTTTCGATGTGTGCAGACTGTGCCCAAACATGAATTCATTAAGCTGCCTGCTCAGCACTCCCTTTTCCAGCCTCATCTCAATTCAACTGGCCTGGCCTACTGTCCATCCCGTTCCAGTCCATCCCATCCCAGCATCGCCACGGGAACTGTTAATTCAAATGTGTATTTCAATAAGAATTATATCGTAAATGATGTAACCACGGCCCTGGGACCACAGAGGGCCTGGGGATAATAGGTGGGTAGTAGGTGACTCCTGTGGGTGGAAGCAGTGTGCAATGGTCCGTGAAATCCATTTGGATGTAGACAGTCAAGTGGTGAACGCGACTCTATACTTTCTGACAGTTGCCGTAAATCAGCAATGCGACTGAATGGTTCTCGTTTTCAAAGCACTTAATTAATTTATTCCGCGATGACTTTTCCATGAGCTCATTAGGCACTCATATGGGTTGGAAATAATGTTGGTAAAGGAATTTCCGATTGTTGAACATGTCCAACACAGATTGAAGCGAATTACGCGTTCAGATATAATTTATTTCCCCTTCGGTAGGTGAATTTAAACTAAGTAATTAAATTATGGATATATTAATTAGAAATAAAAAGTTCAAGTGCACCAGCGGCCATTACATTCTTAAATCTGGTAATGACCAAATGCCATTTTAGTTTAAATTCAATATGCTACAATGTAGATACTTTTGCTTACATTTTTCCAATCATCTGATTGCGATGAAATGGCTCACACATAAAAAACACACTCTAGAGTGGTGTCGCTACTATTAAAATTGCAGATTGTGTCATTGATTATTTAACCCCTTATGCTCTCGTCGTCAAGTCGTGTGGAAAGTGGAAAGTGGCCACCGCCGGGTACAAATCGCCCAGACCCACTGTGCGTGGCACCACAGAGTCAACCGCTGTAAAAAGTAGAGCACGAGGATAATGAGAACACTTGCCTCGCACTCTGTGTATTTCTGCTTCTGTCGACACCTTGGGCACCCCACGACGAGCAGGAGGGGATTCCCGAGCCCCCACACACTTAACCTCTCATACATAGCGGCACTTGGGATCCCTGCCCCTAGCCAAGACATATAGACAGGTGCAGATGGCCCCTACACAGGGGCTACGAATACGGCTAAGATACGGCGGGTTAAACAGATTGCGGCCGTAATTTGAGAGCGAAAACTCATTTGATTATTAAGGTGAAATAAGTGTTATGCGGGGAGCTAAAACGCGCAATGCCGACGAACCCAACCCTCAGCATCATCGTCATCAGGTGAAAAGGCAAGCTTAAATAAATTCAATTAAATAACATTTTCCTTTTTTATTGTTCGCATAAGGGTGAGTATGTATAAAGAGTGGGTATTTACGTGTAAAAGACAGAGACTCTGAACGATGGGGCTGTGTGTGTCTGGGATGATAATGTGAATATTCATGATAATGCTGTTGGTATGGTAGTAGTAGTAGCCTCCACCTCAGGATCCTTCTGCTCCCGGGCGGTCTCCTCCTGTTGCTGCCCCTTCTCCTGGCTCTTCTCGAAATTATACGCACCCACCGATAGGAAATCGTCGAGCCAACGCTTCTCATTTTCGTTTAGCTCCGTGGCGATTGCGGTGGTGGCTACAACCTCATCTTCGGGCTTGTCCGCCACGTCTTTTGTCTTTTTTTCCACATCATCAATGCTAATTGCCGTGGCCATCTCATTAGGGGCGTCAGCTGAACTAAGCTTGGTGACTGTTATGGATGCGGTTATGGCAACAGGAGCTGCGGAATTCACAGGGGCAGCCTCAGCAGGAGAAGGCGCAGCAGGAGAAGGGGCAGCAGGAGAAGGCTCAGGAACAGGAGCCGTTGGAGCGGATTTGGTCAGACTGACTTTCCGCTTCATAGGTCCCAGGTTAGTGAATATCTGGGACTCCAGATGGACCATTTCTGCGTCGCTCAGTTCTTTCCTCTGACCGCCATTAAAGATGCTATTACTCACGTATTTCTCGTTAAGCAGTCGTGCCTTCTCTGCCGGATCTCCGACCACCGCGTTCTCCGCCGCGTCAGTGCAATTGGAGGTGACCAGTTCGCGGTGCTTGTCGCCCCATTGGGTGCGCAGCCAAGGCTTTTCCAGGATAACCAGCCGGCAGATTATGTCCGCTTCCGTCGGCTCCTTTGCCTTCGTGTTTAGCGCATTTAGCAGGATCTCATAGCGCACACCGGCGGTGATTTCCCGAAAGGCATCGATGATATTCACAAAGTTCATCGACAGGGGCAGGAAGGTCATCGCAATGTTCTGGACACCAATCAGGTTGGGCGACAAATACTCCCGCTCGCCGGGATTCAGAACGTGGACCAGCGTGATCGGGGGCTCACTCACTGCCTGATCCGTTGTCGTTTCAGGAGTTTCCGTGCTCTATTTATTCGGGTTTCGAGGGTTTTAACGGATTGGGGTGTTTGCGGTTTGGTGTGTGTTGTGGACGAAACAAAAGGCAAAACACATATGAGGATACACACATAGAGAATTCGGTTGGATTTGAAGCAGTCGTTGGTGATGCAGATGCCAAATTGGAGTTAGTGCGTCTTTGTAGGGGAGTGGGTGTGTTTCAATGGTGTAAGCCAAGCCGTGTGGTGATTGTGTGATTGTGCTATACAGTTGGGCTAACAAGCTTAAGCCAGTTCACCAACATGGTTAATCCCACGAATGATTCCAGGTTATTATACCAGTCAAACCAAATTAGTTATTAATTGAAACACAGAATAAAACACGCATGGTTTTTGTTAAATTGAACGCATTGCATTGTGATTTGTGATGCAAAATGAATAACATAAAGATTTATATTTAAATCGATTCTGTTCTATCATAATTATGATAGCTTATCCTACCCTTCTTATTAATAGGAAAGGTATTCTGGGAATGGTTGTCTAATTGACTAAAACTTTTGCAATGCATGTAACAACTAATAAGCATCCATAGGCGAGAATGCGAGAAAATCCCCTCAATTTCCAATTTAGGAAAGCATTGTGGCACATGGGGGTTTAAGGCTAATTTTAAATGAAAGCATTGGAAGCATGACCTCCTCCCGCAAAGGCTCAGTTAATCGATGTACCGCCCCATATTCACCTGCTTGGTCAGCCGGTCCTAAAGCCTAATGAACTCCGCATAATTGCAACTGCAATTGCGGTCAAACTGCGGCAATGGATCGGGACATCAGACGACCAATCAAGTCAATCACTGGCAAACGCTTGACTGGGCTTTTCAGGCCACAAAAACTAATTAACCGCCGTAACGAAACAGAAACGATGCGAGCCACGCCGAACCGGTTGGTGGAGCATTGCAGCACAATCCATCGATAAATGATGAGACACAAACGCAGAAAGCCGTTGACAGACAGTCAGTGGAACACTGCAGACAGATTTTGGTGAATAATTTAAAAAAGTCGGAATCGCAAAAAGGCGAACAGGCAACACTATCTTTGCGTGTTGCTTCGGTTGGACCACTTGGAAAAATAAAATATCTTGAAGTATAGTGACATTCATTCCTTATGGATTTCATCATTGGTTGACAACGTTACTAAGGAGAAAAGTAAGAGAGTAGTGGATAAATTCGTACACCATGTTCTTAGAATAAATTATGCTCACTAATTCTGTGAAAACCCCTAATTTCCTTAGTGTATTTCTGCTATTGCTGCTGAAACAGTGCAGTTGACAGCAGCCGGCAGAATATGAGGATGAGCTGTGGGACGGGATGGGGTCATCGGGTAGTTTGGGGGACTGGAATAC